TTCTATAAATAGATTGCACTCAGCCTGTTCTATAAATAGATTGCAGACAGCTTGTTCTATAAATAGATTGCAGCCAGCTTGTTCTATAAATAGATTGCAGCCAGCTTGTTCTATAAATAGATTGCACCAGCTTGTTCTATAAATAGATTGCAGCCAGCTTGTTCTATAAATAGATTGCACTCAGCTTGTTCTATAAATAGATTGCACTCAGCTTGTTCTATAAATAGATTGCACTCAGCTTGTTCTATAAATAGATTGCACTCAGCTTGTTCTAGATTGCACTCAATAGATTGCACACTCAGCTTGTTCTATAAATAGATTGCAACCAACTTGTTCTATAATTAGATTGCACCAGGGGCAGACTGACCATTGGGGAACCCGGGAACTGCCCGAGGGCCCGGGGTCAGTAAGGGGCCCCATGAGATGTCCCTGGTACCTTTTCATAGGCTTTTTTGGGTGCGATTTGAGTGTGGGTGAGGACACACGGATCCCATGATCCCCTATTGCCCGGGGGCCCCACAAGTTGTCAGTCCGCCCCTGGATTGCACCCAGCTTGTTCTATAGATTGCACTGTGTTCTATAAATAGATTGCACCCAGTTTGTTCTATAAATAATCGCACCTGTTAGTTTTATAAATAGATTGCACTATGCTTGCTCAATAAATAGGTTGTACCCAACTTGTTTTAAAACAGGCATTGCATCGTCCAAACAAGACTCCGCGTCACTTTCAGGATTCGTTCACTTCAGCCTATAGTACCCATCTGAACATTACAACCCAGTGCTGTACACGTAAAGGTAAGCACACTATCCGGAGTCCCCGGGCAGCCATGAGCACCCTTCCTCCTCTCTGTAATCCCAGCACGCTGCTATGCGTACAGCCCGAGTTAGTGTACAGCAAGGCTCAATACGGCCGACACCACCAAACCGCGCCCCTGACGTCTTTCGCTCCATCTCTTCTCTCTGGACGCACGACAGACGTGTTTTACGTACGTATACGTGGTCGCTTAGCAACCAGAGCCGCTTCTCCAGTCTTCAAGCTTCTGAGTGTACAGGGTCGTGTCCAGTCCATGAGAGAGGAGACGACTGGGTAGACGGAGCAGGAGGAGGGTGAGGTATGGGGAGGAAAGGGAAGAGTGTGGGGGAATCATGGAGGTGGGTGCAGGAAGATCAGGATAAACATTGTAAGAAATATCAGTATATTGGACTGGAGGGAGGGATGCAGTCAGAGCCTGTGCTGGGACACTGCCCCCACTGATCGGATTCCAGGGGGTCTTAGCCTCCCCACTGACAGGGGACATCTGTGTACAGCCAGGGGCATATCTATCGAGAGGTAAACAAGGCATTTGTCTAGGGCAGCAATTATTAGGGGAGTGGTACTGCCCCCCCCCCCCGGAAGAAGACTCCGGGTGGACAGAGCCATGCAGGGCCACCATCAGAGGGGTACCACCGGTACTCCTGTAGATGGCCCAGACAGCAGGAGGACCAGCATGGTGGGGGAGAGCAGTTGCAGAAGGATGCATTGTGTATCTCTCCCTCCAGCAGCTGAAATCCGGTTTGAGGTTTCCCCCCCCTCTCCCTCCCGCCGGCTTTCTGCTGCTGGAGGGAGAGACAGACCTGGCTGGATGGAGGGGGTGCCCTGGTGTTCCTGAGTGGTCGCTCTCCACGGAGCTCCTTCCCCCGTCTGCACTTAGCTGGGACCAGGGGAACACCTGGAGCAGGGAGAGGAGATGTAGTGAAGAGGAAAGAGCCAGGAGGAGGTGAGCTGTGTTGTGTTCTCTGAACTCTCCTTCCTTTCATCCATCCTGCACATGAGACACGATCACTGACCGGTCATATGGGACTGCACACACACAGTATGATTACCACCTCCTGCCCACATTTCCTGCTGCCTGGAGATCAGCAGCCCCTGGGGGGGGGGGGGGGTAATCATGCTGTATGTATACAGTCCCATATGGTCTGAGCGAGAGAAGAGAGAGGGGAGAGAGAGAGAGAGAGGAGGAAGAGAGAGAAAAGGTAGAGCGGGAAGAGAAAGAGAGGGAGAAAGAGAGAGAATCACACATATATTATATATATATACACACACACACAATTTTTTTTGTTGCCTAGGGCAGCACAAAATCTAAATACACCGCTCTGTACAGTGTTATCCGGGTTCTACAATGATGGAGTTCCCAGTCCTCCACTGGTACCATCATACCAAAACAGCTCAAAACCACCCCTGTTGTGCAGCCTGATCTATCTATCTATGTCTCTTTTCTCTTGAAGCTGGCCATAGATGATTTGTTTTTCTTTTTCATTTAGCCAGTGGGAGGGCTGAATGAAAAAAAAAGAACAAATTCCATCATCTACACAAACAAGGTGGATAAAGGAATCCTCCCCACCGGGACTCTTGGCTGTCAGAATACACAGATCAGCACCTGCAGCAAGCTGGTCAAGAAAAAATTTCCCAATACCCTTTCAACAAAAGTCCACCAACTTTTGTCAGACTGGCATGGCCAGCTTTAGTTATCCATCTGGTTTAACCACTTGCCCTCCAGAAGATTTACCCCCCTTCCTGACCAGCCATTTTTTTGCGATACGGCAATGCGTCACTTTAACTGACTATCGCAACACTTTGCATAAATTAAATTTATGTATTTTTTTCCCAGTAGTATTTGATCACCTCTGCGTTTTTTTATTTTTTGTGCTACAAACAAAAAAAGACTGACAATTTTGAAAAAAACCCAAAACAATATTTTTGATTTTTGCTATACAACATATCCAATAAAAAAAAAATTGTCTTAAATTTAAGCCAAAATGTATTCTGCTATATGTTTTTTCTAAAAACAAAAATCCCAATACGTGTATAATAATTTGTTTTCATGAAAGTTATAGCGTCTACAAATGGCGGTATATATACTGGAATTTGAATTTATTTTTTATACTAGTAATAGCGGCAAAAGTGCTCCACACCTGAAAAATATTATTTAAGTCTATGGCAAAGCGCAGCTAACACGCAGGAGAGCCACCGGTGCTGTGCTGCAGGTAAATCGCAACACCTCAGTGTGAAAGCAGCCTCATAGTAACCTCAGGACAATAAGGGCTTGTTTACATTTGCGGTTTGGGGGGCAGTTAGTTTTTACCACATCCCCCAAGCACTGGTGTAACATCAGGGGTCTCAATGATGACCCTGTTCCATGCTCCAGGGTGCCCATGCAACCTCCTGTCACATTGTTTTACAGTGGTGTGGGGAGGTGGTGGCTTCATATACAGGAACTGATCCTCCCCATTTTTGCTCCTGAAAATGCTGAAGGCTGGCTATTCCTTCTCTCCCTCCCGCCGCCATTCAGTAGCTAAAGGAGGAAAATGTTCATTATGTTATACAAAATAAAAATATTCTAAATTCTGAAGCATTTCATTTTATTGTTTCCCGCGACTGGCTACAAAATCACCTAAGTGGCCCTCGCTCTTCAAATGGTTGAGCACCCCTGCTTTAACCCCTTATAAACCAGCACATGTTCGCAGGTGCATACATTCCTAGAGTTGAAAAGGCTGTCAGTGTACTTTGCACATAGGTAAATGTTTACGTTCATTTGTACACATACACACTTTTGAACAACACAATTTGCAAGTCTTAGTTGCACACACAGTTGATAGTTATACCAGTTGAAGTCACCTGGGTCAGTTCACACGAATTACACAGGAATGTACTGTGCATTCCTGTGCAATTCACATGCAATCTGTATGTAGTGCAATTTCACTTTAGGTTCATTTGAATGGGTTGAAATTGCACCAGACAGCACCACAAGCGCACTACTCTACCATGCGATCTAGTGCAGGCAAGCGCACTGTGTTTGCAATCTGCCATTGGGGTGTCATTAAGTTAATGTTGACACCTGCTGCAGATCACAACTACAGTGCGTTTTGAATGCAGTGTGGGAAATGCACACAGAACATACTGTAGATTTAGAATATTAGGGAAACGTGTTGGTTGCTTTGGAAGTTTGCTGCCAGTAGGTTGCTGCATTAGAGCAAACTAACAAACAGCACCAGTAATTAGCCTTGCACATATACAAGCTTGATAATATTGAGCTTATGTTAGAATGGTTTATAGGCCTCATATACTGTAACATTTTTGGTTTTAAAGTGAATGTTTAGTGGTTTGCATTTTTTCTTTATTTGTAATGGACAAGTTTTGAAACTATTTGGAAATATATATATTTTTTTTAAAAGTAAATATTAATTTTACATATACATTTTTGACTCAACAAACAGAGCTTGTAAGGAACACTTTGCCCTCACCATGGTGGAGCAGTAGAGAATTCTTGGAATGGTGACGTTTCTCCCTATTCAATAGAAAGCTGAGAACAAAGGAAGTCTGATCGGTTGCACTCCAAATAATCTACTTTATTGAACCAAGATAAAACCAATACAGACAGTGGAAATACAGTGGGGGACTGACAGGTAAACGCGTTTCCCGCCTAAGACAGCGCTTATTCATTACCCCCCCCCATTATTCACAGGGGTAATGAATAAGCGCTGTCTTTAGCATGAAACGCATTTACCTGCCAGTCCCCCACTGTATTTCCACTGTCTGTATTGTCTTTATCTTGGTTCGGTAAAGTGGATTTTTTGAAATGCAGCCGATCGGACGTCCTTTGTTCTCATCTATGCAGCACACGAGCTGGGCTAGCACCTACAGGAGGAGTTGTGTTTGGAGATTGGGAGTCTCTCTACCTTGAGCAGCGGTAAGCATATATGTGTGAATGTCAAGAGAAATCTCTCCTGTACCTGAGTGGTGGAGGGCTATCAGTAAAGGCAGTCTGTAAAACTAAAGCTTCTGCAGGGCAGAGGGAGAACCCAGACCATGTATATCACCATATTAAAAATGGTATGTGATTGCTATTTTAGGTTTTGTATAATTTTTCTATACAGTATCTCTGTATCTAATGAAGAAAAAAACAAACTGAGTGAGGAGGAAAGAACATATTTCACAGCGGAGCTTGACTCTACTTTCCAGAATGGAAGAGGATGAGGAGAATTTCACCACTTTTCTGGCATACACAAAGAGTCCCAAAACAACAAAAAGAACTTCATTCCAGGTAATTTTAATCCTTTTTTACTATCCTGTAAAGCTTGAAGCAAAAATGAATTTGAGAGCAGAAATGAAGTGAAATTCTACTGTATCGAATGCTGCAAGACAGTGGGGTAGATTTACTTCACTGGAGCACTCAGAATCTGGTGTAGCTGTGCATGGTATCCAATCAGCTTCTAACTTCAGCATGTTTAATTAAGCTTTGACAATAAAACCTGGAAGCTGAATGGTTTCTATGCAGAGTTGCATCAGATTTTGCACCCTCCAGTCTTAGTAAATAAAACCCAGCGTTTTCAAACTTTGAAAATAATACCTCCAATCAGACTTTGTGCACACTATGAGTGGTATCTGATGATATCTATGTCACTACTAGGGACAGCATCTTAACCACCTCCCGCCCGCCATATAGTAATATGATGGGCGCAAGGTGGTTCTCTCGTTCTGGGAGGACATCATATGACGTCCTCCCATCCTCACTGCGCATGCGCGCGGCTCAGAGAGAGTGCAGCGCGGCGATCGGCGGTGCGCTGTGTCCCTTGGACACAGCGGATCACCGATCACAGAGCCGAAGATGTCAGCTCGGTCATGTGATCAGCTGTGTCCAATCACAGCCGATCACATGTAAACAGGGAAATGCCAGGTATCGGCATTTCTCTCCTCTCGAGCTGTCACGCTGACAGCTCGAGAGGAAAGCCGGTAATCTGCTTTCCGCGGAGGGGACATGTACACTGATCATCAGGGCACTGATGATCAGTGTGCCCTGATGATCAGTGTAGCCCCAGCAGTGCCACCTGTCAGTGTCCATCAGTGCTCATCAGTGCCTCGTGCCAGTGCCACATATCAGTGCCACATATCAGTGCCTACCAGTGCACATAAATGCCACATATCAGTGCCCATCTGAGCTGCCTTTCAGTGTCACCCATCAGTGCCAGCTATCAATGCCAATCAGTGCCACCTATCAGTGCTGCCAATCAGTGCCGCCTATAAGTGTCAGTCAGTGCCGCCTGTCAGTGCTGGCATCAGTGCAGCCTAACAGTGCCAGTCAGTGCCACCTATCAGTGCAGCCTAACAGTGCCTTGTCAGTGCTGCCTTTCAGTGCCCATCAGTGATGCCTGTCAATGCCCATCAGTGCCCCTACCAGTGCCTCCTCATCAGTGCCACCTATCAGTGTCCATCAGTGCACCTATCAGTGCCCATCAGTGCAGCCTCATTAGCGCACATCAGTGAAGGAGAAAAATCACTTATTTACAAAATTTTATAACAAAACCTAAGAAAAAACATTTTTTTTTTTCAAAATTTTGGTTTGTTTAAGAAAAAATAAAAAACCCAGAGGTAATTAAATACCACCAAAATAAAGCTCTATCTGTCACAAAAAAATGATAAAAATTTCATATGGGTACAGTGTTGTTTGACAGCGCAATTGTCATTCAAAGCTGGAAATTGGCCTGGGCAGGAAGGGGGTATAAGTGCCCTGTAGGCTAGCGGTTAATGTAGGACTATATACACTATATGATCAAAAGTTTGTGGACACCTGATAATCTCACACACTATGTTGTAAAAGTTATGTGACACCCTCCTCCTACAGTAAATATTGAGTGCAGGTGTTTCCAATGAAGGTTCTAGGTAATGTTGCAGCATACAAAGAAATATTAAACAACTATCTGCTTCCAACCTTGTGATGACAGTTTTAGAACGTGACTGCGCCCAAAAGTCAGGTCCAAAATTATACGGTCTGATGAGCTCGGTGTGGAGGAACCTGAGTTCCCTTCACAGAGGTTTGACCTCAACCCTATTGAAAATATTTGGATATACTCAAATGCCTATTGCGTGCCAGATCTTTTCGTTCACCATCACTACTGGACCTCACAAATGCTCTTTTTACTAAATGTGCCAAATTCGTGTCAGTGGTTGTAAAATTCTGCTTTCTCATTGGATTTTTCCTCTGTTAGAGAACGGAGAAAGACCTTTTAATTATCATAGAAATTAGCATGCAATCTCATTTTCTTTTAGGATGAGCTAAAGAAGGCAGTCAATGCTCGAGTTTCCCGACAGAAGGCTATTGAAGAAGCTGAAAATTCAGACTACTCAGAAGAGTTTGAAAGTGATGGTATGTCCCTTCAGAAGAATTTTCTTTCAGTTATTTAGTTCAGATAAGGGTAAAAATAAATTGACTCTGCTGCTGGAATTCCATTAACTTTACCAATATTTTGACTGTATATTACATGAATAGTTTTATTTAAAGTGTTACTAAACCCACAATAGTAAAGTCAGTCTATATATGCAGTAAAGCTTGCTTGTTAAACTCACTGTAGAACCTAAGGGGTTAATTATGTGCATTGTGTAAAAAGGCTGTTTGATCCTGTCTTCTCTGATCATCCCCTTCTTTTGCTGTTCTCAATCCATCTGCCATAGTTAGATCAAAAGTGGCAAGTCTGCACATGCTCCGTTTGGTGTGTATTGCTAAAAAAGGGTGCATGTGATTAACACAGGGCCAATCAGTGCTGTCCAGACAGTACAGTGTCAGGGGTTATACAGCCTCACAAGACAGTCAGAGGAGAATGAAAACTCCTCCTACAAGACTAACCAGTGCTCGTCTGGATACTGATAGAAGTTACAAGAATTCTATGTACTGCTGGTGAGAAAAGGTATTTAGAAGTTTATGTTTGCTAAAATATCTGTATTTCCATGTTCTGTGTACTGTGGAAGACTGGATATAGTGAATGCAGGGTCCTGGGTTTAGTAACACATTAATAAAGCATTCTTGATGATTATTTTAAATTGCAATGGCTTGTATTTTTTTACGGTTGTTTATTGCAAATCGATAAAAAGACACCAGTTCAATGTATCCTGTACTGGTTTGACTTCAACATCCTGAATCATAATTGTACTTAAGAATTCGCATTTAGGAATAAGAAGTCTATTGAACCCAGAACTAAATATGTATTAAATTGTAGCTTACCATTCATTAGATGTGGTGGCTCCATTAGGGCTTTTTCCTCTCTGTTTTTCACTTAGTGATCTGGACATACCTTGTGTATTAGTGAGACAAAATTCTGGATGATTAAGGCTCGGTTCATACTGACAACACTGGGATCCAACTTCTGAGGCCCCAAGTCTCATGACATGTGAAATCCCTTGTTAGTCAATGAGAGCTGTCTTAATTAGCACTACTGAAGTCGCTCCGACTTTAGAATAGGTTCCTGTACTACTTCAAGGCGACTTCTATCTGACTTGTGTCCATATACTATAATAGAAGTCACCTCCAATTCGGATCCTCATCTATATTGATGTGATTTGGATCTGACATTACAGGAAGATTACCCAGGCATTCTCTGAAAGTTGCTTCAAAGTCGCTGTCAAGTCGTCTGGCAAAGTCGCATTGCAAGTCGTGCAACTTTCAGGTAGCAGTAGTGTGATCCAAGACTAAGCACAGAAGGCCTAGCAGACAACAGTACGGGGGAGGGTAGTTTTTTAAAGTATTAGCAGATTTAAATACACTAACAAACTGAAGCCAAACTCTAGCTCACAATTTATAATTAGTTACAGCAAACCGTTTTTTTTTCCTTTTGGGATAAAGGTTTTATTTGAATAAAAGCTGATAGTTTTTATAATCATTCCTGTCAGTGTTAAATGGTTTGTCTCATTCACGTAAACTGATACATTCTGCTGGAGAACTTGTGCTTTTGAAAAACAGCAGACTTGCTGACTGTATCACCAGATGAAAATAGAAGAAAGAAAGCCTAAAAAGGGAAATAAATACAGATATCACATCTAAAAATTGCCTAAATGATGAATTCCAATGTGAATCACCATTGTGCACCTAATTACATCAAACTCATCAAGCAAAAGCATATATGGTCATGCAGTGATTATTTGTGCTTATATTCTACATAAAATGTCAAGTATTCTCAAACATAGAATACATTTTATAAAATAAGTTCACTTCATTGAATAAATGAACATCCAATCTTCACTCGTTACGCTGTGGGAATTTTTTTTCACACGTCAAGCACTTTCACCCTGCTACTGTACAGGTCAATTTTCAGCTTTTAGCACTGTCACACTTTGAATGACAATTGCATGGTCATGCAACACTGTAACTATATTATTTATTTAGTTTTTTTTATTTCAGGTACTTATATAGCGCCGTCATGTTACGCAGCGCTTTACATATATATTGTACATTCAGATCAGTCCCTAACCCTCAAGGGGTGTACAATCTAAGGTCCCTAACTTACATTCATACATACACATACTAGGGCCAATTTAGACAGGAACCAATTAACTTACCAGCATGTCTTTTGGAGTGTGGGAGGAAACCGGAGTACCCGGAGGAAACCCACGCCGGCACAGGGAGAACATGCAAACTCCAGGCAGGTGGGTGCCATGGATTTGAACCGGCGACCCCAGTACTGCCAGGCGGAAGTGCTAACCACTTAGCCACTGTGCTGCCCATATTATATTTTTTATCTTTTTTTTTCATACAAATAGAGCTTTCTTTTAGTTTTTATTTCATCATCACTGTTTTTTTTTTTTTTTTTTGCTAAACAAACAAAAAGACCGAAAATGTTGAAAACTTTGCAAATAAATAATCTTTCTTCATAAATTTAGGCCAAACTGTATTCGCTACATTTCTTTGGTAAAAGTAACCCAAATAAGTGTACAGTGCCTTGAAAAAGTATTCATACCCCTTGAAATTTTCAACATTTTGTCATGTTGGGCCCTTTTTATCCCTCTTGTATTGAACTGTATTGTTGCTGTATTGTCTCCCATTATATTGTAAAGCGCTGAGCAAACTGTTGGCGCTATATAAATGCCTGTATAATAATAATAATGTTTCAACCAGAAAGGTTAATGTGATAGACCAACACAAAGTGGCACATAATTGTGAAGTAGAAGAAAAATTATAAATGGTTTTCAAAATTTTTACAAATAAATATCTGAAAAGTATGGTGTGAATTTGTATTTAGCCCCCTTTACTCTAATAGCCCTAACTAAAATCTAGTGGAACCAGTTGCCGTCAGAAGTCACCTAATTCGTAATTATAGTCCCACCTGTGTATAATTTAATCTCAGTATAAATACAGCTGTTCTGTGAAGCCCTCAGAGGTTTGTTAGAGAGCATTAGTGAACAAACCACATCGTGAAGGCCAAGGAACACACCAGACAGGTCAGGGATAAAGGTGTGGAGACCTTTAAAGCAGGGTTAGGTTATAAAAAAATATCCCATGCTTAGAACATCTCACGGAGCACTGTTCAATCCATAATCCGAAAATGGAAAGAGTATGGCACAACTGCAAACCTACCAAGACATGGTCCTCCACCTAAACTGACAGGTCAGGGAAGGAGAGCATTAATCAGAGAAGCAGCCAAGAATGGCATGGTAACTCTGGAGGAGCTACAGAGATCCACAGTTCAGTTGGGAGAATTTGTCCACAGGACAACCATTAGTCATGCACTCCACAAATCTGGCCTTTATGGAAGAGTGGCAAGAAGAAAGCCATTCTTGAAAGAAAGCCATAAGAAATCCCGTTTGCAGTTTGTGAGAAGCCATGTGGGGGACACAGCAAATATGTGGAAGAAGGAGCTCTGGTCAGATGAGACCAAAATTGAACTTTTTGGCGTAAAAGCAAAACACTATGTGTGGCGGAAATCTAACACAGCACATCACCCTGAACTCGCCATCCCCCACTGTGAAACATGGTGGTGGCAGCATCATGTTGTGTGGATGCTTTTCCTCAGATGGGACAGGGAAGCTGGTCAATGTTGATTGGAAGATGGATGGAGCCAAATACAGGGCAATCTTAGAAGAAAACCTTTTAGAGTCTGCAAAAGACTTGAGAATAGGGTAGAGGTTCACCTTCCATCAGGACAAGGACCCTAACCATATAGCCAGACCTAAAGTGGAATGGTTTAGATCAAAGCATATTCATGTGTTTGAATGGACCAGTCAAAGTCCAGACCTAAATCCAATTGAGAAAAGACTTAAAAATTGCTGTTCACAGACGCTCTCCATCCAATCTGACAGAGCTTGAGCTATTTTGTACAGAAGAATGGGCAAAAATGTCACTCTCTAGATGTGCAAAGCTGGTAGAGACATCCCCAAAAAGACTTGCAGCTGTAATTGCAGGGCTTTCCTGCAACAATTGGTTCTACAAACTATTGGCTCAGGGGTTGAATACAAATACACGCCACACTTTTGAGATATTTATTTGTAAAACATTTTGAAAACCATTTATGATTTTTCCTTCCACTTCAGTTATGTGCCTTTTTGTGTTGGTCTATCACATAAAATCCCAATAAAATAAATTTACATTTTTGGTTGTAACATGACAAAATATGGAAAAAGGGGGTATGAATACTTTTTCAAGGCACTGTATATTATTTGGTTTGTGTGAGTGTAATAGTGTATACAAACTATGGCAGGCCTCAAAATTACCCCTCGTCTGCTCACATTTGGAGAGTGAAAATAACGTGGGGGCAAGCGTTTTCCAGGTAGGGCCACCATCAGGAGGAGCCAAAAGAGGAAAAGGATGCGGAGTCTGTGATTGCAGCTGACAGAGGAGCATCTCCCCCCCCCCCCCCCAGACACCATGACCGACTCGGACAGTGTGGAGAGCGGCTATACCCCTCTAGTTTCTGCCCTCCACAGCCACTGGCACCCTGGCATAGTGATAAAGTGAGAGCAGGAAAAGCAGCTTGCATGGGAGTCGGGTTGTATCCACTCCGTCTCCTATCCTGTCTCCACTGTCCTCCTAGCCCAGCAATGGGCAAACTACGGCCCGCGGGCCGTATACAGCCCGGCGGACCTTTTAATCCGGCCCGCGGAGCGTGATACTGTCAGGATGGCTGTCAGGATGTGTGTAGGCGGGGCAGCGTGACGAACGTGAGGGGAGCTAGGCTCCTCCACAGTCCGCCCTGAAGCCGGACGGCGCGGGAACACGGTGAGAGGAACGCGCGGAGCAAAGGTAAGTAAATTGACACAGGGGGGACGTGGGGACCTAATATGGGGGGGATGAATTATGGGGAATGAATTACTATAGGGGGGATGAATTACTATGGGGGATGAATTACTATATGGGGGATGAATTACTATGGGGGATGAATT